CACAGTCAGGTATTTTTCGTAAGTATGCTCAAGTCCTGTGTATGGCACTTGACCCTTTACATTCATCAAGCTACGGAAAGTGCTATGGCTTTCAATGTGTCTCTTTGTAATACGTATGGTTCTGAATTCAAGCCACTCTTTGTTAAAAGCAAAATATCCTTCCATTATTCTCAATGTGCTGAAAGTGAACATTTAATTCTTAAAAGTGGAAACTGGATGTGTGCAGATTTAAGAAAATCTGGTGGAAAAGGTAATGCTGAGAGCTTCCCCTCGGTTGTAAGTTATCCGAAATTACCACGAATTTCATTGAGAACAGGAACTGTGGAAGCATCCGATTCCCTGTTTCATCTTCGATACGGCACTCAACTTAAGCGAGAAAATGAATTAGAAATTGCACTGGAACTTAAATGCGAGTTTAAATTTTCCGATTGCAGCAGTCTTTCAGAGATCATAAAAACTTCATCTGCTTTTGCATTGCCTACAAGTCTTCATCATCAGCAGTTTAGCTGTGATCTAGGAAATCTGTACAAAACTGGAAAGTTGTCCGATATCACTATTACGGTCGGTTCCAAGACATTCTCCGTGCACAAGAGTATTGTTTGTGCACGATCTGCGGTATTTTGTAGAATGTTTGAAATAGAAATGAAAGAATCGGTAGGGAACCGTGTTGATATTTCAGACATCGATCCCGATATAATGGACGAAATACTTATGTACATGTATTCAGGTTGGCTGAAAAAACCATTGGAGGGTGATAGAGCTGAAGAACTGTACGCAGTGGCTGATAAATACGATATTTTTACTCTCAAGGAAAAGTGCTCAACTTTTTTCAAATCAGGTCTTTCTGCCAGTAATGTATGTCGAGTTCTGCAGTTAGCAGATTTACATTCAGATGATGATTTGTATAAGCAAGTAATGAAATTTCTTTCTCAAGAGTGGTATATTTTTTCTACCGTAGAATGGCAAACATTCACACTATGTAACGGTAGTGTTGCGGCTAAAGTTCAAAAAGATGTGAAAAAGGTGAAGCTATAAAGGAAAAAGTAATAAAAATTAGCATTTATGCGCAGTGTCAAAGTTCTTAAAAATTGTATGCATATAAAGTATTTTGTTATTTCAGCTAATTATTTCTGCTTCTCTAATAATTTTGGACATGTTTCTTTCTGTTTATTTTTATAGATTTTAAAATTGGTTTAAATACATTTAATTGATTCTTATGTTTTATTAATTTTTACATTATGGTATTGTATTAATTTTTATTTGTATTTCAAGCTAATTCATAATTACACATATTATACATTTACGTTCTGAAAACTGAGTGTACGGTAAACAGATTTTTTTACTGATTCTATCGATTATTTGAACTTGTTTTAGGAAATTAAAAGAAAATACGATTTTAGGATAACTAATTTTATGTGAAACATGTTATTCTCTTTAGGTATTATCTTTTTAAGCAATTAGTTAAATATTGTATTTCATATTGTGTGATTATAAGACCGGCGCCGCCTCATGGAGTGGAATTTTAGAATTTAGATAATTACAAGGCAGCAAAATTTAGGGAATATTTATGTTGTAAGAAAACAGAATTTGGGGGCTACAAAATTTTTAGAGTTAAAAGAAGTTATCGCGAGCAGCTGAATTTAGAACCCACAGTGATAGTATCAGATGCAATTTGTCTAGTCCCGGACTTGATTAATGTGTATATATGTAAGAAAAGGAATATGTTAAAGACTGAATTAGGAGTGTAAATTAATTTCCCTCTCTATTTTAAAAATAGCAACTTCTTTTTGCACTGTGTCATTTCGAGAAAACCCTATGTCGTATGACTCTTACATAATTCTGATGATGTAAATGGAACTAAGAAAAACGGTTAACAGCCAATAATAATTTTACAGCAATATTAACCATCCAATCAGAACGCTTTGAGAACCAAAACTCACTCAGTTTGACTTCATCCTGAACATTACGCACTTGCTTTCTATGCTTTGGCCTAGCTGCACTGCAGTCTGCTCTTTCTTTCTTATTGCAAATTTATCTAAAATGTGAAATCTCTTGGAATAGGCACAATTAATGTGCCAACTTGATTATCGCCGCAAGATATTGCTGAAAATAAAACTGAAGATTTAATCTGGTTGTAATATATTCAATGTCAGAAGCAACTGAAGAGCGGGAACAGAAATTTAGATGGCGAAGGCAGATTTAATCTTCAGTTTTATTTTTTGCAGTATATTGTGGCTATGCACAAGTCGACACATTAAATGTGCTTGTTCCAAAAGGCTTACATTTTTTATAATTTTGTACCAAGAAAGCAGAGCAGACAGACAGCAGTGTAGTTAGGCCAAAGCGTGGAAAGGAAGTGTGTAATGTTCAGGGTGAAATCTGAAGTCAAACTGAGTTAGTTTTGGTTCTCAAAGCATTCTGATAGGATGGTTAATATTGCTGTAAAATTATTATTGGCTGTTAAGAGTTTTAGTTCTGTTTACATCATCAGAATTATGTAAGAGTCATATGACATAGAGTTTTCTCAAAATGACACAGTGCAAGAAGAGGTTGCTAATTCAATCTTTTACATATTCTTTTTCTTATATATATACTAACTTAAGGAGGTTTTCTTTTGTCTATTTTATTTTATACCTTTTGTCTGGAGAATAGAGATAAAAAAATATGTGCCTTTGAACACGGGAACATTATTCTTTTTATATAACAAAAATTAGATTCTGTTCATTAAATATCTACTTCAGGGATGGCCAACTTGCAGCACGGTGGAGTTTTAATAGTGACACACGAAGATTTATTGAAAAATCAAAAGATTTGAAAAAATTAATACTATCGTCTGTATCAACTCCGTCGATAGATATCACGTAAACACATTATAATAAATATAACAATTATTGACCTACAGCACTATACTACACTGAAAAGTAAATATAAGAAACTTATTAGTCGCCCTTTAAAAAGAGGAGTATATAAGGTATTTCTCCCACTTCCCTAGCGTGCCTTCATGGTGTAACGGTAGCACGCTGGGCCGGTACTCCAGAGGTCCGTGGTTCGATTCCTGGTGAAGGCGTTGTATTTCATCTTTTCTGCTTCCAATTAACCTAATGACTCTACAACGTAATAAAATAAAAGTATGATGCAAGAAATGATATGCCCAAACACCTAATTTGTTAGGACAAAATTTCGAAATTTCTCAACGCAACTTCAATTTACATGACTGAGAAATAGTGTTGTAGATATGGATCAACTATGTGAATAAATGTTTTCTATTATAAACATAATAAAATCAAAGTACAGTCAAATGTCGTTAATTCGGACACCCATAATCCGGAATGATCTATATCCGACCTCAAAGCTAAAACTTTCTGCATAACCTTTCGCTGCGAATATGCGTGTGCGCAAGTGCATAATACGTTTACGCATGCGCGTTTAAGTATAACGGACGATATAAGCTAAGCTAAAATTATCTAATTCATTTAGTTTGCAGACTGCGTTGTTCCTTAATCTTCGAATTGGATCCGGCTTATTATTTTTTGCAGACTGTTAGAGCAATTTTATAAAAGTAAGCTTGAACTTTCGATTATGTCAATAGAATTTCCAATCTGTTTACTAAAGTAAAGTATTACAATGCGAAGTATTTTGAATCCGAAATCTGTTTATCAATTTCGTGCTGCTCTGCAGGGGGGGGACGTCGCAGCACGCAATGAACTGGAAGTTGATCTGACAGCACTATCCTTATTCAGGCAGATGTTTTTATTGGCTTATAATTCCTTCCTAATGTAGTATTTCATCGATGTAATCCGTCTTTGATATGATTTCAATCAAGTCCTGTTCTTATAATCGCTTTCGCTCGTGCCGCCCGTGCAGCGCGGTCTTTCCCCAACAGGCTGCTCTTTCGACTTTGGTGGGTCGGTTCGCGCATTTTGGCGGGGGCTTCCCGTTATACCTGGGCTCTGGTCCTCTGTGCGCAGTATCCGTGAATTCTGCTTATTTGGTGCGGGAATGGCGCATGGGCCTGTCTGGATATAATGGCGCATTCGGTTTTCATCGGAAAGGGCGGCCCTGGGGAAAATCTGGACCTTCGTCTTGGCTTTTCTGTGTTGTGTGCCCAGTTGTCCTTGGGCTCCCTGGCCCTCCTCCGTGATTCGCACTGGGTCTTTCGTGCGATGAAGGGGTGTCATCCTAGTGTTTCTCAGGTTTGTGCGAGATAGAAGTCAAGATGTTTATTTAGTATTTATTTTACTAGTACCTTCGTGAACTAGATGATTTTAAAATCTGAACGGGCACATCGCTTGCGTCTTATTTAGGGATATAATAAGAAAATTTTCGGACCGTAAGCAAGATTCTGAGAAGATTAGTAAGTAGTATTTTTAATATTGAGGATATATTTTTATGCATCTAATGTAAGGTGGAAGTAAAGTAATTTGGTATTATTGGGAAATTTGTATTACAATGATTATAATTATAATCAATGATTAATTATGAACTTATAGTTAAAGTAATTAGGATTGTAAGCTAATTTTAATATAATTTAAGTATGTGCTTATTTATATTTTAAGTAGTTTTGAATTTAATTCATTTTAATAAAGATAGTTTTTGTGAATTTTTACTGTAGGAATTTGGTTGTATGTTAAGTTGAATAAATGTGAAAGGAAATAATTTAAATATTTGCTAATAAATTTGTAATGCTTATGTAGATTCGTTGGTGACGTGTATATGTAATAATGATTAGGTAAGTTTGATATTTTATTTATTTAGATGTGCGAAATGTTCAATTTGTAAGGGTACTTTTTCGTATTAGTGATTTCTAGATTTGTTTTTTAAGGTTTTACGATTCAGAACATTGCAAGCATTTTCGTTAAATTTTGCTTTATGAGAAAAAGAGATACATGGATATGGTGAAAAGTGTGCGCATGCATTTTGCAATTTAGTTTTTTTAATAAAAATAAGTTGACTGTACTGTTTAGTGATTTTTTTTAAATGATAGTTATTTGTGAATTTTAGTTTGTAGGATTTGGTATACGTTTAGTTGAAGTAAAGTATGCATGGATATTTAATATTTACCTAAGTATTTATCTTGCAGTATTCGTTGGTGCTTTAATATAATACATGATTGGAGGTAAAAGTTTTTCGATATTTGATTTATTTTAATGTGGAAAGTTAGTAGGGAAGGTATATACATTTCGCAATCAGGTAATTTCATGTATGTTCTTTACGGGTAAAGATTCAGAAAATTGTCAGATTTCTAAATTTCTAATTTATGAGAAAAAAGCTGTCATGATTAGTGAAGAGTGTGCGCATGCCATTTGGTTAATTCTGGGAGTTTTTTTAAGTAAAATAAGTCGACGTGTGCATGGTTTATGGTGTATGTGTTATTTTCAAACGCGATGTAGGTAATGTAAAAATTACGTCACTAGTAATTGTTTATAAGAAGTGTCAGTAGATAAAAAGAAAAAAACAGTCTTTCTATGAAAAAATGGCGTCGGAAAAAAAAAAAAAGGGTTGCTGTAGGAGAGTTGGTCGCCAATTTTGCCAAAAAATCGCAAAGTTACCATAATTAAGATCACACGAAAACATTCTATTGACAAATTCGGATCTCGACACAGAATTATAGGACAAAGAAATTATGTCTGTTTAGAATAAAGAAGTTTTCCATGAAACGAAGCAATTTAAACAACTTCATTGAATGAAATGTTTAATAAAGTAAACAAATAAATATTAAGCATTTTCTTTTTGTAAATTTTGATCCCTTGATCATATTGTTCTTTATTCATAAATTACGGTTTCATATTTTTTAATTGTAATTTCGATGCCATCTTACCAGATTTAAACTGATGATCTATAATCCGGAATCGCCGAAGTCCCGACAAGTCCAGATTAACGACTTTTGACTGTATTATACAAGATTAACTGATATACACCTGAAACAGATAATTTAGCATCAGAAATCCCATAATCAGTGTATAAAACCATTTTTTTCGTCTGTTTATATTTTTCAGTATGTTGGAAGTGGGGCATGCATGACACTTTTTTTTCTTTTTGCATATAGTGGCATGCTTCCCAAAA